GTTTGCAGTGCCGGTGGGTGGGGTAAGGAATGGCAGGCTGCTTATCACCGCGAGGAGCTTCTGAGCTGCGTTGACACCCAGGGGGTTAGGGCACCTGAAGTTCCTTAAAGTTCCCAGCCTGCTGGGCTGAGTGTGCCAGGGTGATTTTGTCCACCTGTTAAACCCTTGTCCCTTTAAGACTTTTAAAGCACCCGCTTTTCTTTTGTCCCCGTGCAGCCAGCTGTGGGAACCTGTTCGCAGGCTCAATCCTGGACCTTGCTTTTCCGCTCCTCCAATATCCAGTGCACCATGGATTGTGTGTCTGTGCTCCCGGGGCAGACCACCAGGGCTGCTTATTTAGCAGGCCTGTGCTTCCACTCCCTCCCCACTGTGATTCCCTTCCTCCCACCATTGAGCTGGGATGGGGGCAGCGCTCGGGTCCTGCCAGGTCACGGCTTCGTATCTTACCCTTTTCCGTGAGATGTTGGGCTCTCAAAGATGTAGCCTGACTGGTGTACTGTATCTTCCGGTCACTCTTTTAGGAATAGTTGTATTCACTGTATTTTCAAAATATGTACGGTTTTGTGAGGAGATTTCCGCCACCCTACTCAGGCCGCCATCTTAAGAATTTTTGGGTCCCTTTTATTTCTTTGTGTTGTCTGATTGCCGTGGCTAGGGACCTCCCTTACTATGTTGAATAAAAGCGGGGAGAGTGGGCATCCTTGTCTTGTTCCTGATCTTAGAGGAAAAGCTTTCAGCTTCTCACTGTTAAGTATGATGTTGGCCGTGCACCTCCTCTCCTTTTAATACTCAAGAGTTTTGATGATTGGGCCAGAATAGACTGTCCAATACTCGAATTGCTGGGTCCCACCTCCTCCAAATCCCCACCCCAACATAATAAGGAATCTGGATTGGGATTCTTGCTCAGTCTCAGGAGCACTGGGCCAACCCTACCCTCACCCTGTGGAAAGGATGCAGGCTCTGGAGTAAGAGGGTTTGACCCCAGTTCTGCTCTTAATACCTGTATGTCCTGGGGCAGGTCATCTTTTTGAGCCTCAGAATCTCCTGTCAGCAGGGTTGGTGGCCCCGTTCAGGAGCTGCCCAGTGTTGTCACAGCACATTAGGGACTCCACCTGCAATACCGGGCCCCAAACCTGGAGGCAGGCAGCCTGAGCCAGTGCCTGGCAAGGGCAGTCACCTTTGCCTTCCCTGCTCTGGGCTGGCTGGGAGGTGCTCCACCAACAAAGGCAGCAGCAGACTGTCCCCTAGAAATGGGGGTGGGGGTGGGGGGCTCCATGCTTCTGGATGGGCTGTTTGTGACCTGAAACCTAAGGCGTTCTGTGCCGGGTCCCCCACCAGAAAGGTGGCCTTGTTCCGCATGCAGCTGGCCCCAGAGCTGCCAGCAGGAATAGCAGGCCCTTTGCAAACCAGGAAGGTGGGCCATGCCGCCAGCAGCGGCTGCCATTCTCAGGAAGCACTTGGCTTTCCCACTTGGAGGAATGTCTTTGTCTTTTGTAGATGGAGAAAGATGAAACTGTGAGCGACTGCTCCCCACACATAGCCAACATCGGGCGCCTGGTAGAGGTGAGTCAGCCCCTGGGCTCAGGCTCGCTCCTCTTGCTGGGGGTCACTTCCCACAGCAGGGGACATTTTGCCCCTGAAGTCTGCCATCTGCAGGCTCCTTCCTCTCTCCTCTTTCTTGCTACTCCATAGCAGCCAGCAGTGCGTTTCTTATTTTTCATCTTGACTTCATGTTTTCTGAGCCTTTAATCTGGATGAGAGCAGGGCTCAGCTCCAAGGCACCCCCTAAACTGCCCCCGCCCCAAACAAGTTCCAGAAGACTACTTGAGAAGCCCTCATCCATCTCCCCTAGTCACCCTGGGCAGGCATGAGCAGAGGCCTGATCTCCGAGAGGAAGCAGCCCTGCAGGAGCTTTGGCCGCCCCTGCCCCGGCCTGCCCAGGCACCACGCTCTGCTGTCCTAGGAAAGGGAAGCCCTCTGGCTTCACAGAATTGTTTACAAAATTGGTGGGAAGGCTGAGGGGTGGTGATGTGGTATAGAACAGCTCCCAGCGTGGTCTGACGGTCGGCGTTGGCCCCCAGTACCTGGATATTGGTCGGCTTCCTGGGGAGGGTAAGGTGCTCAGAGCACGAGATACAGGTTGGGTCCTGAGCCTTGGGGCTCACTCACGGCCTCGGCGCAGTCATGTGCTTCCCCCCTGTGGTCACAGCGGGGACTGCAGGGGTGAGCTGCTGGGCGGGGGAGGGCCTGGGCCTCAGGGCTCCTGTTTGCCTTTCACCTGACTTACTCCCTTCCCAGGACATGGAAAATAAAATCAGAAGTACGCTGAATGAGATCTACTTTGGAAAGACAAAGGACATCGTCAATGGGCTGAGGTAATGTATCCAAAAGCACAAGCATTGGAACCAGAAGCTGTAGATTTGAACCCTGGGTTTACTGGTTAATTGCTAAATACCCACCTCTTGGGATTGTTAATGCAGGTTTGGAAAGATAATACACACATAGTTGGCACTCTAAGTAGATGTTGACTCCTACCTTGTTTTTCTGGGGGGATGTTCACCTTAACCGGTGCTCTCATCCCTGGAGTCACCTCCTCTCAGTCCTGTGGAAAGAACCCGCCCAGCCCCTGCGGCCTGGGAGGGAGTGCAGACTTCTGGGCGGCCTGGCCGCCTCTGGCTGACTGCGCGTCAGGGCAGCAGAGAGAGCTGCCTCAGCCTGCCGTTCCGGGAGAGGGCCCCCAGCCCCTCTGTTGTGCTCTGCGGGGGCTCTGTTGGACTACCCGGGGCCCTGAGCTGCCCCTCCACCCACCTTGTGTCCTCAGTCCTGCAGCATCGCCTGAGAGAAGGCTGGGAAGGGCCCTCTGGGTCCTGGAGGTCTGTGGTGGGCAGAGCAGGAGGTCAGAGCCCCTCTGGGGGGCAGTAGAGGCAGTTGAGGAGCAAGTGCTGGCCTTGAAGTCAGGAGGTCGGATCGCAGTCAGGCTGTGTCACCCTGAGCTGTGTGACATTCAGCCAGGGGCCCCTCTCACCAGCCCTCGGCAGGCCATGAAGGCAGGGCTGCTGAGGGCTTAGATGAGAGGACGAAGTCTGCTCTGCTGCCCAGCACGTCCGTGTGAGTCTGAGAGCTCCTGCTCTGCCCTTGGCCCCAGCCCTCTAATGCCCCATTCTGGGTGCCAATCTTCCCTTTTGGGCCAGAAGGAAGTGGGAAGCAGCTCTGGGGGCTGCCCTGACTTGTGAATTTGTCCAGGAGGCAGATGTTTGGTTTCCTCCTCCTAGAGTTTTAAAAAAGCAAGAAGTCCCCTTTGGACCCTCATCTGTCTGATTTCCCGCCCCTACCCCCATCCCTCAGTGGAGCACTTGGGGGTGGCTTGCCCTGGTGGGTCTTACTTCCCACCCCCCCACCCCCCATCACTGTCTCTCCTCTGGCTGTTGAGCCTGGGACCTCGAGGTCATCTGTGCCCAGAGCTTCCTGGCCTGGGGCCGGTTGAGAGCCCAGGGGTCCCAGCAGTCTGCCACCTGGGGCCACTGTACCATCCTCACCAGACATACTCCCCCCGGGCTCCTCCATCCACCCCACCTGCACGATCCCCAGGCAATGCCGGAGAGTAGGAGAGACACAAAGAGCCTGCAGGGTGGGGTTGTGAGCCCCTGAAAACCGTGGCCGTTGCGTACGCTCTGCACACCGGCCTCCACACCGCTACCTGTGCCCCAGTGGCCTTGGTGATGTGTGCCTCTTCCTTCAACCTCTGTGTCCCCTGCATTTCCTCTCTGCTGTCACCGCCTGGTGCCCCCAACCTGTGTTGCCCCACTGCTGCCCTCACCTCTGACCCCTCTCCATAGATCTGTTGACGCTATCCCTGACAACCCAAAGTTTCAGCAGTTGCAGAGGGAGCTTTCTCAAGTGCTGACCCAGCGCCAGATCCACATCCAGCCTGATAATTAGGCCGGTCCAGGTACCCTCCCTGCCTGAGAGGCGTGAGCATCCTCCCCACTAAACAGGTCTCACCGACTCACTCAGACCCTGCCGGTCCGGCCGTTGTCTTGCGGCCATATAAACCACCACTAACCCGTGTCCACGTACGGCTGTGAGCGGCCACAGTAACACGTAAGCTCAGCCCCACATAACACGGACCCGCTTGTATCACATATGTGGTGTGTGTGCTTTGCACTGTGAGGGTGGGGGAAGACAGAGGGGTGGTTTTGGCTTTTGCTCCTGAAGAAGCCCCATCCAGGGGATTAACCTAGCCTCTGCAGCAGAAGCCGCTTGTCTGCACTGCTCTGACTGGCCCAGAGCGATGGGCCATACTTTGCCTTGTGGTCATCCACATGCTTTAAGGCAGCCTCTCTGAATCTCTGTATGTGCCGCCAGGTCAACCCAGCTTTGCCACAGAGGATCCCAGAAGCAGTAGGAGCTCCCTTCTCAGTGGCAAAGTGACTGTCGGTGCTGGCTGTCTTGAAAGGAGTGTATTGCTCCACGTACGGGGAGGGCGCACAGAGTGGGAGCTCTGGTCCCCCTGGCTGGGCCTCATGCACCCCCAGACCAGCTGCTGCTGGAGCTGCCTGGGCCAGCGTAACCTTCCACTCCTAACCAGCTGCAGCTGTCCTCAGAAATGCAGAACGCTGACAGAAAGGAAAATAGTCTTGCTCGTAATAATGACCGAGAACCGTGACTTGAGTTTGTGCAAATGCAGATGTATGAAGGCAGTCGGCATCCCCAGAGAGGAGGAGGGAAGCTGGCTTTCGTGTGAGGCGCTTGGGAACTCAGCTGGCCAGGGCTCCAGGCCCAGGGATTACCCTCCGAGGGACCCCTCCAGGGTGGGTGGGGCAGAGCCGCTCTTCAGTGCCCACGGACTCCAACCTGTTGGTCTGCTCTGGGTGTGTGTGCCAGCTCCAGGCCTCTGGCACCTGTCGGCTTCCAGCCTCATGCTGGGACTGTCAGGTTCCCAAGACGGCATTGAGAAAATCCCCTTTCTAAGGTATCCCATTGTTGTGCCGTTTTCTCCCCAGCCCCTCAGCTTTTAGGGTAAGTCTAGAGTCTTCTGGCTCTCTAGCCTGCGATCCTCTTCCCACTAGAGACTTTCCAGCGTAGAAACTTTCTGCAGCGGTGGGTAGCCTGGTGCCCCGTCTGTGCGGAGCAGGTCCTTCCCGCACTGAGTTAGCACTTCTCCAGGCATCGGTTCGAGGTTGCTTGGCAATGACCTTCCCACGCTCTGTGCTAAATGAGTGCGCTGCTCCTTACACCCCCAGCTGTTGGAAGCTTCACCTCCTGTCTCTCCCCTCATTCTAACCCTGGTTCTAACCCTGGAACTTTATCTTTTGAGGGGTGCGGGGAGGGCACAGCCCAGCCTGGTATGCTCAGCTTCTTCCCAGAAGCACCAGCGCCCACACGGGAGCCACGGGAGCTGCTGCTTCGCCTCTTGCATCCTCCCCCTGGCCATGCTGACCTCCTACTGGGAGCTTTTCCAGAACCACATGGGGGACTGGGTGAGGCTTGGAGCCCGAGGACCACCAGGGCTGCTGTCTGACCCTCTCTTTGGCTGCCACAGAGCAGGCGGCAGTCCAGGACACACATTCGGAAATCGGTATTTTGGCAGCATCAGCCCCAATGCCAGCTTTTCTCACTGGAATGATTTTAGTTGTATACAGATTCTTTCAAAGCCTCTTAACCATTTTGAGGATACTTTCCGTGTTTTTTCTAGGACCAAGTAGTCAGAATTCAACTTGGGATGCTGACGTGCTGCTAGGTTTTACTTCATCTTACCTTACCTCTTTTTGGCATTTAGGATTATTTTTTTATTCCTCTTTCCCATTCTTTCTCACTGTCAGTGTGTTATCAGACTGAGGTTCCTGTGGAGTCTGGCGTCCACACCATTCCTTTGAGGCGGCTTTCCACCCTTTCTTTCCACTGCTGTGAAACTGTTTCAAGGCTTGTAAATGGTTTAAGAAGTTCTTGGTTAGCCAGCATGTTGGGTAAAGGTGACAGAGTCATTGTAGAGGTCACTGCCAGGGCGCAGTTCCCTGAACCTGCCCCTCAGCTGTCAGTTGGGAATAATACTAAGATTTCTACTTGTCTTGGGGATGCTTGTAAGAGTAAAATGAGGAGAATGTGGAAAAGCACTCAGTAAATTGTCCAGCCTCTACAAAGCTTGCTGAGGAGTGCCGGCGCCGTGCATAACTGCTCTCCCAGTAGCGCGCCCCACAAATCCAGGACTTGATGGCGGGAACCCAGGGCACACCTCTCAGTCCCCTGCTGCCTCTTGAAATCCAGGCTGAGGGGTTTTCTTGGCCGAGTTACCAGGTGATGGTGCCTCACAGCAGAAGCCTAAAGGCACCTGCCCTTCTTGTGCTGCCCTGCCGGTGAACCAGTGTACTCAGACGTCCAGAGGTGCCAGCTCTTCACCCTGCACTTGTGGGGTGGGCAGGGGTGCAGTGAGGGGAGATTTATAGCAGGGTCCTCATGGCCCTGAGGCCGCAGCTGGTCTGCAGCACGGGGTGCGGTCTTTGCTGCATTGTGCTTGGAAGCCCAAAAGACACCTTCTGGTTCAGACTGACCTGGGACCTGTGCCCAGAGAAGCCGGTTAGGGTTCTGGTGGCTATGGCCAGGTTACCCCAGACCAGTGCAGAGGTGAGCATCTGTCCGGTTGGGCTGCATACCTCCCCTGCAGCGCCCGGCGAGGTGTGGTGTGTGCAGGTCTCAGGCTCTGTGCCGCCGCCACCTCACCTCTCCTACCCTGCTTGCAGTTCTAGAGAGGATCGCAGTGCCTCGCCTGGTGGTCCAGACCCCCAGCCGAGGAGGCCCGCCTCATGGGTGGCGTGTCCGGCCAGGCCACCAGGCGGCAGCCTCAGCCCCTCACGGCCACACTGCCTGTTAAACCTGCTCGTGACAGTTCTTTTCCTCCTTGGCAGGTCTGTGCAGACTTTTGCAGACAAATCAAAACAAGAAGCTCTTAAGAACGACCTGGTGGAGGCTTTGAAGAGAAAGCAGCAATGTTAAACCTCTGCTTCACGCTAACCGGACACGCCATGCACTCGTTAGATTCCTTTCGTAGAAAACTCATTTTCTGC